AGTTAGGGCTGGTTCAGGTTTATAGTTAGGGCTGGCTCAGGTTTATACTTGGACCAGCCCCTAGATATGCAACTATAGGCCTAGACTTCCTATGATACACTGAGCTTCTCTCTCCTCTTCTCTCTCTCCTTCTGTATGAATTCATGCCCCATTAATGCACATTACTGACTTTGCTTCTTCCCCGGAGTCTTTGCGCTTTTTCGCCTTGCAGGTTTCCGTGGATCCTGGTTATATCTGGACCATGGTCTTGCCTCCTACCGTGCTTCTGTCATATGCATAACTCTGTTATGTTTTTCATTCTGTACACATGACATCTATCACACTTCTGTCCATCCTGATAGTGTCACGATTTATGTTTTGGTCTAGTTATTTATTCAGTTTTATTTAGATGTTCCCTGCCTCTTGTGTCTTGCACTTTATTTCCTGCCTTTGTCTGTGTCTTACCCCTGTGATTGTCAGCCCTCCCCTTAATTAAACACTGCTGCTTTCAATCACCTGCACCTCCTCAGTCTGCTTCACTTCACTTTCTGCTCCTGTCTGTTCCTCCCCTGTGATTGTCTGCCCCGCCCTTAATTGTAACCTGCTGTGTCTAATCACCTGCACATTCCCTGTGTATTTAAACCCCGTGTGTCCCTTGGCTCAGTGATGGTTTGTCTTTGGTGTTACCTGGTCTGCCAGCCAGCCAGCCAGCCAGTTCTCTCCGGTATGTTCCCTGTTTCGCTTCTGCTGTGCTCCTTGGTTTTTTTTTGGATGTTTTATTTTCATGGACTTTTTGTGAATTTTGATTCACATGTTTTTTGTGTCCAATACTTTTTGTTACCATTAAATCTACATTAATCCTGCCCTCCTTTCCCATGTCTCCCTGCATTTGGGTCCAGCCCTTTTTTCTCCACTAATCATTACAGTTGGAGGGATCCTCCTCTGTTGCTCTCCCTAAGGTTTCTTCCTCTTTTTCTACCCGTTAAAGGGTTTTTTGGGGGAGTTTTTCCTGCTCCGATGTGAGGGTCCCGGGACAGGATGTCTTGTGTACAGACTGTAAAGCCCTCTGAGGGTATTTGTGATTTTGGGCTGTATAAAATAAATGTAATTGAATTAATATTATTGTTATCCCCTTTGCCCCTTTCATTTCTAATGGCTGAGGTAACTGTTACCCAAATGGGCCTTTTACTACCTTTTTATGTTTATTTCATTTTACAGTCTGAATGAGACTCAGTACCTCCAAGTTTGAGGCCATGGTTTTCTGCTGGAAAATGGTGGGTTGCACCCGCCAGGTTGGGAGTGAGACGCTGCCCCAAGCGAGGGAAAATCAACTCACCGAAGCAGCATGGAGAACAGACAGAGGAGTGAAAGGGGCTAAAGGTGGAGATCATTTAAAGGTTAATTCAGTTTCTGGAGTCCTCATTTAAGTTAATAACTTAAGGGACAATATCTGGTCACAGAATTTAAAATGCGTTTCTCCTGATTAATGGGCATTTTGTGTGAAAGATGGAATTTGAGTCTGAACAATACCCTCTTGATTTGACTACTATCATTTGGGTTGCATTTTGTAACGAGGATAGCGGGCCATTCATTTCTATCTGGTTTACAGTAACATATTTTTTAAGAGTCAATGTAGAATTGTGATTATTTGACTGTCTGGCGCCCAACTCTTACTTTGGATATTTGGGGAATAAACCTACACTACAGAAAGTTCTTGTTCTAACAAAAGTTTTCTGCTGCCGTAGAATCTTATGAATAAATGTGGGAAAAGTACTTGCTCTTACAATATTACAGTAAGGTATGGGTATATGCTGGCCTCATTTGCCAGTGGAAAAGCACTGACACTGAATAAACAAACCTCACTGACATCACCAGTGAGCTGATGAGATTAAAAGTAATAAGCTGCTTTACGTTGAGAATAGAAACGATAAGAAGCGGCGCAGTCTGAGGCGCACAGACAATGAGTCTGTGAAATAGCAGCAGCTGGTTTGTCTTCTTCATACCTGATACGTTTTTGATAGCAACTATCAGGACTTGACACCTAGAGGTAAGCCAGCTGTTTAATTTTTTTTATTCTGCGTGTGCAAAATATTATCTAGAAGGTTAATATGGCCCTCAGAGATCAAAGCGTTTTAATATCCTTTCCAATAACAAAGTAACGTGCCAGCTCTTTGATTTCATCTCTATAATGTATTGCTGTTTAAACATTTTGATGAAATACGTTTTCTGTGTTTTGCCAAGAACTGTGTTCATAGTATGATATTGAGAAAAACAATATTAGGCCATTATTTACACAGGACATATAATTTCTCCTTATCGTTCGTATTATTAATGTTTTTATCCAGGGTGCATTCATTTCCATGTAAAATTGTGGACATTACCCTTTCCCATAACTAAATCCGGAGAAAAAAAGTAAAATGTGTATTCCAAAACAATTTGGCAAGTGCAAGTTTGGAATAAAAATGTTAAGGTAAAAACCCTCTATTTTCTATGACTTGTTTTGCAGTTAATGTGAGACTGTGGTGCATTAGGAATGAGTAAAAGGGGGAGGAGGAGGAACAGCAAGAGGAGGAAGAGCTCCAGCAGCAGTAAACGTGAGTCGGAGATTTGGGTGGAGGGTGCAACAAGGTTAATCCTGTGCTTAGCTGAGTCACATTTTTTTCCACACCTGTGCAGTTTGCCAATATTTGGACTTATTTGAAACAGTAGAGGACTAGTGATAGCTAGTGAATAAAGGGTTTTATGAGGTTACAAACAAGTTAGGCTCACCATTGCTGTCCATTGAGCATGTGCTCAGTACTATACACATGGGCTGTCTCCATAAATAGACTTGCATTCACACTACTCCAGCCAACTGACAAAATGCCACCAACAATTCAAACATTTTAATGTAACCTCATACAACGGTTGGTATGATATCCTAGGAAAAGTTACTAATTTGTCGTGCGTTTTCCTAAGAAAGCCTGCAACGCATGTCAATTTTCAAAGTCTTTTCAAAATAAACTTCCATCTTCACAGGAAACAACTCTGTTGGGTTTGAGCAACAAGATCTGGGAAGCGATGGAGAAATACTTTTTTAGGTTTAGGAAAAGATCGTCATTTGGAATAAAATAACTACGGATGTGCCCTTATCTTAATATCTACGAATATTTTTCATAGGTATAGCCACGATTGCTGGATGAATATTTAAAGGGATCTGGCAGAGGTAAATATAATTGTTTTCTTGAGTGCATAATCTACAGAAAATAAGAATCATGTTTTTCGTTAGCTTAGAATGGGCTATTTATATCTACACATGGAGCGGGTCTTTTTCACAGAGTTGGTGTCCATGTTTGTACAGTAACTAAGAATGCACTGACAGCAATACTGATATCTGGCCGATACTGACACAAATAGCTGTATTGTAACAGTGACAACAGGGCTGATCTTTCAATATAATTCTGTGTTTATTGACTATAATTATTAAATACTGGAATTTTATTTCCTGATTAAGTTTTGACTTAAGTATACAGCTTATTAATTAAACACTGGTATCGGATTGGGATGCCATGGTTTTGTCTCCAGGGCTGGGAAAACTAAACACGACAAACCTCTGGTCTTGAAGAGCTGAAGCATTTATTTCTGCGCAAACTGCAACTTCCGCTGAACATTCATTTGAAATTCTCACCTCTTAACTAACTCTCTTCTATGGAAGCCCATTTCCGCCACTGTGAGGAAAAAGCATCATCTGACTTAGCATCTCATAATAATGAGATGCTAAGTCATAATAATGAGATAGTATCTCATTATTGTGACTTAGTGACTGAGGGCGGGGGCATAGCAGAGCAGGGTTACGGTTTAAGAAGGGACCCTGTTAACTGGCGACCTTCAGCAAAATGCGTCTCATGTTGTCATAGTTACGGCAGCTGTTGAAAACAGGAAGAGAACACGTAGCTGTCCTTGTGAATGCTGCATTGTTTTAATTTTGCAATGCAGTGTCAAACCTTCTCATTTACAGTCTTTGGTCAAAACATACCGGATTCGACGTTGGAGTCTTTTGAGGAAACGAGTCCACTCACATTTGAAACGTCGTTTGTTGAAACGGGAAGAGAGCAAGTTGCCCTAATTCCTTTGAAATAATAAAGCTGGTATAAAAACAAACACATAATCGTCTTTGGAGCCTGTTTTGTGCAAAAATGTGTTGCGTAGAAGAACTCTGTAGCACAGTTTTAAAAAAAATGACATACAATAAAACCAGGTAAAACAGTCAGCAGGAGCTCCGAAGAGCAACGGGAAATCAGATCAACTTGTGACCACACTCAGTGTTTATGGTGGAGCATTTTGACGTGTACTACGGAGCAGTTTAGAATACAGCTGGTTTTCCAGACAAATCTTTGTAGCGCTGCAAATCAATGAGGCAGATGTTTGTGATGTTGTCATGAGGTGAAAATACACAATGTGGACAATAACACATCAGAGGCAACAAGAAAAACACAACCATAAGATTAAGAATTCAACCAGCCAAGAACACATGTCAATTTGTTCATTTGAGTTTGGTTGAAGGTCGCCAGTTAACAGGGTCCCTTCTTAAACCGTAACCCTGCTCTGCTACGCCCCGCCCTCAGTCACTAAGTCATTATGAGATGCTATCATTATGAGATAGTAATTCATAATTATGAGATAGTAAGTTGAAATTATGAGATGCTAAATCATTATTTTGATAGTATCATAATGACTTGCAGGATCTTAATTTTTTTTCCTCAGTGGGGGAAATGGGCTTCCATACTCTTCTGCCCAGCTGCCAACTCGTTCGCTCACACAAATTAGCTGCCACTCTTTCTCTTGCTTTACCACTCATTTCCTACTACACACACTGGTTCTGCTATCCTCCAAATGACTTGAGCTACTCTCACAACAACTGGCTCTGGATAAGGCATGCATGGCACAGGGGCGACGTTTCAGCTGGTTGCAATCTGCAACCTCACCACAAAATCCTAAACACTGCAACTTTAATAAACCAATAATTACACGTCACCTCCTGATCACATAGGGGATGCCATGGCGAAATCTACCACAAACTGAGCCCAGGCCACCAGAAATGTATCAAGCCCAACCTGACTTCTTGCAATGATAGATTAGTGTCGGCCCTGCATCAGTTCCCTCTCAGCTTTGTCAAAGACGGTCACAACAGAGCTGAACGAGGGCAAGTCAAAATGTTATCTGTAGTGTTTGGAGCCAGTATTTTCAGCAATCAGCCAGTGTCATGACAGAGGGTGCAAATGTTGTCTGCAAACATATTTTTTTCTCACTTTTCTTTCCTTCTCCTGCACCTAAATCCTTGTTGCTGGTGAAAGGCCTTAAAAAAAGCTCTTGAACTTCTCTGTCTCAAAATGATATATGTAAATTGAATACAAGTTTTTAACATAACGAAATAAGGATTCAGCTACACACCTAAACAACTTAGAATTAGTTTAGAGGTTGGCATAGAACAGTGGCACAATATAAGATATTCAGAGCATTAATATATCATCAAACTACTATTATGTTGAGTATTTACTTGTAAATTATGAGGTGGTGATTTAGGTAAAAATCTGTGAGCTGTAAAATCTATTTACATCATTTTACATTGCAGACATTTTTTATATACTACATTTTTTTGTTTTTTTACTTTCAGAGAGTGTTACCATACAGCTTTCAAAAGCAGAACAAAAGTAACAATGTCAGCTACAAAGCTGACATTGTTGAAAAGGGTTAGACAGATTCTCTGCGAAAGGAAAATGTCCTGTCGGGATCGGAAAATGAGGAAAAATACAACGCTCCACCCAAAGAAAAAAGAGTTAAACGGGATCATCATGTGAATTCATTTACAAAACAAAGAAGTATTTATACCAAAACGACAGAGGACAAAGAGAAAGGAGTGAGGACAGTGACGTCGGTGTCTGTCAATGACGTGGAAGATTCCCCCCCGAAGATCATTTTTCAGCAGTCACGTGTACTCTTATCTGAAAATCCAACCCACTCAACACCAGTTACTAACATCATGAAAATGAACTGCAATGGGTCACATGTGAAATTGGAAATTCAAGAAACTTTACAATTGAATACTTCTGGCATCAAGACCACGTTTGTTTTAATGAATGAAAAGGAAAACTGTGCTGATGTGTTTTTTAAGAGCAAATGTGAGAAGACATGGTTACCAAATAATGAGTCATCTGAGCAGCCATCACAAAATGTGACTAATCACAACGGCAATCAAAGCTTAAATTACAGATTTACCTTTGGCAACATGAGTGAACAAACGGAGTCTCATAGTGATTCCAAATCTGTCAGTCCAACAAATGTATGGCACAACACAAACTTTCAATGCTGTGGGGATCACAAACTAATATCAACAGACTTTATGTTGACAAATCATCCGTCTAGACCACAACCATTGTTAAACATCAAACCTCAAGGGAAGAGGAAAAACTTTGACAAAAGCATCGGAAGTGATCAGTTCTGGGACATTCCTCCACCCCAAGAGTTTGCAGACTTTAAAAATAATATTTTAGAAGACCTAACACACTGCCTGGCTGCCTGTAGAATTGTAGAAAGTTCTGCTGACAAAAAGCAAAAGGAGTTTCACACGACACCTAACATTACCTGTAAGGATGAATCTCGATGGCCATTTTCTTTAGAAGCAGAGGAAAGAGCAGATCTGGCACCTTTGTTCCATCAATTATCAGAATCTGCCAGCTATGAGCCAATGCTCATGAGACCTTCCTTGTCTACCAACAGGTCCAGCTTCACCAAAGATTTCATCAACTGTCAAAAGAGAAAATCCTGGATTAGAAACAACAGTATTGCCACTGTGGAACACAGAGCATGTTTGTCACCAAAGAAAAGATACCAAACATATCCTGGGATGTCAGAGGGTCTAGGATTGATGCAGGAAGACTTTCTGTCTCCCTCTACTGAATCCGTTCCCTCTTTAGTCATGTGCTCACTGCTTCTCCAAACTGAGAGGCTGGGAAGGATTCACCAGGGCACTGACATGTTTTCTGCATTCGGAATAGGAAATTATAATTCTTCACAACCAAAGGGACGTTCCAAACTTGCCTCAGAAAACCTAAACAGCTGTGATGGAAAGCAATCATTGCTGAGTCCATTCTATATGAGCAGCTCTGAGGATATACCTGATGATGTGTTCTCTGTCAATGAGCAATGTCGAAGACAAAGCAGCATCAGTTACCGTCGTACAACAGGCGGACAACAGGAAGTAGACTTAAAACAGAGCATTTGTATGTACGTGGAAAGTCTGGACAATATTGATCAAAGTGAAGTGGCAGACAGTGGATTTGACCAAGAAATGGGGGAAGTAGAATATCACAGCCCAGAGCCCCTGACAGAGGAGTTGAGTCAAAGAGCCCTTGCCATTCATCCATCCTGCAGGGGCTCAGAGGAACATATATTACAGAGCTATCCTGTAATATTACTCCTCAAGGACAAGATTGAAAGTGAAAGCCAAGAGGATCCAGTCTCAGTTTTACCCAAACATAGTAAGTCCTCAGTCATGACAGTACCTGTTGGTGCACACGAGCAAAGATTCTTGCAGATGGACTCAAGATCATCACTGGGTGGTTTTATGGAAACAAATGGTAGAACTGCCCTGGAAGACCCTTGCATATCCCCTTTGCAGGATGTGAACTCTCTTTCATTAAACACAAATGAGGTTACAGATGAGATTGAACCTAAACCATTTGGTGAAAAAACAGGAAATGCCAACCCTTCTTTGCCACTAATGATAACAGAGGATTCAGACAAACCTGGAGTCACTGCATCATGTCCTGCCAAAGGTTCTACAGATGCAGAAATCCATGCAAAAGAGCAGCTCGGTAAAACGGACAAGGCAGATAAACACTTTGTATCCAGATGTAAGTTACAGTAATGAAATAAATACTGAACAACTAATTTCAGGTCAGTTTGTATATACAACTGACCTATTGTGACTGTTTATCACCATTTCCAGCTTCCTTAGAGGCCAAACAGCATCTGAAACCTGTGGTTGATAAACACCCAGACAGCAGTGGCTCTGACCACTGGGCCAGGAGGCGAAAGCTCTTCAAGGAGAGCAAGGAATGGAGCTCTGCTGGAGGAAGCTCAATGACCAGTGATATCACAGAGGAATCAGGTAACTCTTGTCCCAAACTCTTGAGTTTGGGACAATGGAGGGTGTATCCAAATAATCATTGCTATACATTTGGTAAAATTACCAAGTGCCCCTATTTGAAGAGCAAACAGAGTAGTCAGTGGTGAATCAAACTTGTGCATTCTTTCAAGTATGACACTTGCCAGCCCAATTTTGTGGCAATCACCACTCACATACGCTACCACCTGATTGGACGTTGAGCTCATTGATCTATTGATCGGTGTTGAGGGTTTAGCGTTACAAAGTAATGTTAATTTAACTTCATGACTTATCACATTGCAGTATAACACATTGTTTTCAATTCAATTTAAATAGTGTAATGATGGAAAATCACGGACTTATAGCTTTATTACCCGACACTTACTGAATAAGTCCTCTTAATGTAATATTGTGGTGTTAATTGGTTGTATTTAAGTGTAGGTACAGCGAAACAAGGGAGTAACAATTGGAAGTTTTAGGCTACATCCACACTAATACGTTTCTGTTATGAATCAGGGGTTTAAAATGAAAACGAGCTCTGTCCACACGAGCATTTCATTGTCGTTTTATCAATGATTTCCATCCATACTAACATGCCTAAAAACGAATATCACATGACTATTCATGTACAGTGGGCACGCAGGTGCCGGTGTAAACAGAAAGTAGAGTATTGGGTCAACACGCATCTCTCACAAGTTTCCTTGGTTTCGTTGTTGTCCTCTCACTCATAGCTCCGCTGGTGGCTTAAAACCCTGTCTCACAGGAGAGCATTTATGCTTTTCTTCATCTACAGTTTCTTTGTGAACTTCACAATAGTTGTGCAGAGCAAAATAAGCATTGATAAGAAAAGGAAAGTCCTCCGTTTTGTCCATCACTCTCCTCAAAGTCGCAAACCGGGACGTCGCACGTCCGCTCCGTAGTGCTGATAGTAGACACGCCCCTCGCTTAATCGCTCCAATAACGGTTTACTTCCTCAGCATGTCGGCAGTAGTAGCATTAGAAATGCAGAATTTAATTGCACAACAGCTGCTAGCATAGACAACAAGATCAACAACGCTTGTAATCTGTTATCCATGTTGAATATGGTATTTTAATGAAAAGGAGAACTGACTTATACAGAAGGAATTTTGTAAGTACTAGTAACTACAGGTATGTTGGAGGAAAGGATCAATTATTTATACTGTAAGTATTTTGTTAGTAGTGGGTACTTACTGGGTAGAGTACTGGTAATCATAGCTGGACAGTTAAGTAATTATGGTATAATGTGTTTCAGAGTTGTGATGTGCAACCAACCATAATATACTAATGGATGAAGTACAATAAAGACAAAAACGTTTGCTCTTTGCTCATGGTAGTTGTGACAATAATTTCTTATAGGTGTGCCTTCGGCAAGCAAGCTATTCATCTACTCCATTTTGATTTGGAATAACAACGAGTAGAGAAATGGGTCTTTATTTTTGAACATTAGCTCCTAGCTGGCATGTTCATCAAGCACTGCAGCAGCTCATATCGATGAGGCTGGAGGATAAAACTAACTTTTCTGAAGTGCACAGTTATGGAAACTTATATTATCATCCAATGACAAAAAACACAATGCAGTAATATAATAATATAATTCAGCATGTGCAACCTAAAGCACACACATGCTCACAGGAAATGGGTAGCCCCTGCTCAAGAAGCACTCAAGTGTGGTTAGAAACATTTGTTAAACAATTCAGAATTAACATATGTGGAAAAGTTCTCACGAATGAATGAACTGCCATTATTGAACATAAAAATACTGTATTTGCACAATATACTGTATATTGTTGAAACAAATGTTGAATACTGTTCCTCTGATACAGAATTGAGCTAAAATCTATCCCTAATTAAGAGGTACCCTGTAAGCACTCAACACTTACTGTACCAAATTCTTGCAGTACCTAGTACTTACAAAATACATGTTGTATAAGTCATTTCTTCTTTCTTCTAAAATACTTGTAGGTACCTAGTACTTACAAAATACTTGCAGAATAGGGGGGAGGGGGTTGAGGAGAGGTGAAAGTGTTTTTGCACAAAACAATGTATTTTGTTAAAAGCCTAAAGTATAAATGATTTCTTCTTTCCTCTAAAATACCCTGTAAGTGGGCTTCCCAGTACTTACTAAAATCCTTACAGTATAACCTTTCCTTATAAAATTCCCTATTGTTGCTTCCTCGTTGCACTGTACCTACATTTTAGTAACATTTGATTTTCTGAAACGGAAGGCCTTAATGCACACACGTGCAAGTCTTTTTTTCTTTAGCTTCCACTGTCTTACTGTTAGCACTGTTCTGTCTTGTTGATCCTTGATAATGAAGGTCAGTTCTCCTTTGATTATGAGTATGTGCTCCATACCCAATTTAAACAATTTACAGACATTTTAGAAACAATTACAGCCATCAAGTAACCTGCTTTGGGTCTTTTCATACATGACAACCATTGGTGGGTTCAGCATACATCAGAGGAAGGCAATTTGTAAAATTGTGTTTCCTTTTTTAAATTTTTTAAATATTTTTCCTTTCTTGTCACTCCAAATTAATGATAATCTGTAATAAAAAAGAAATCGGTCTATATGTAAATGTGGCCTTATCCAATATCTGTACTTGCCAATACTTATTGTCACTCACATTTCACATTTAATGAACTATTCCACCTTGCACTCATTTAAGTCCAGTTGGCTACTTTATTATATTCATTTTTAATCTAATAAAATAGTTTTGATTAACCAGTTGTGATTAGCTCACACTGTAACTTTACACACTGTTTACTATTGACCAAAGTTCTATTGCAAAGTTATGTCAGATGCTCCAAATCATGTTTTATAAAATATGGAACTTCCTGCAGTAATATATTTGATCCAGTATATATGTTTTTCCACATCATACATTGGTTTACATTTTGGTAATCCTGTTGGTAAGTAATTGTTCCTGCTTTGTGTGTAACAAAGTGAATGTTCATTCTTAAATCATACCTGCCTACTACCTATAGGTGTTGAGTGTATCACTATAGATGGTGCGAATAAATACATTTTAAAAATAAAATAAATAAAGTCTAGTGATTCTAAATTAAAACGTTCTGATCAGTCAAGAATGGGTGTTATTTTAGATATTAATAGCTAGTTACAGAGTGTGTGGGCTAAAACACACAAGTCCAAATTCTCTGTGACAAAAATGTGCTGGCAAACACAAAATATGCAATAATTAAGATCATACTGAATCTGGCTTCCAGTGACAACTGAGCAATTATGATTATTGTCAAATATTGTAAATTTAGCAATTTGACAACTGACCTTCTACAGCATGTACTGCATTGTATCATGGAATGTTGTTTGTTGGCCTTTGTTTTGTTTCTAGTGTCAGAGGACACTTGCTCGATGGACATGGCAATTCAAGACAATGAAGACAGGGGCTTTTATACAGAGACCTTCCATTCTTCTGCATGGATTTACCAAGGAGATGATGTAGACTCAGCTGCCATTCCTTCCGGCCTGAACACCAAAACTCGAGCTGTCTCAAGTAAGCCAGTTTGTGATTTCACAAGAAAATATACGTCTTTAGGGTTATGGTTACAGGGAAAATTAATTTAGTATTGAATCGCAGTTAGAAGTGTTCTTCTTAAACTTTCTTTAATACATGATTCAAACACCATGCAGAGGCAATACTGTACATTGGACCAAGCAAATGATTACATATATTCTACTACAATGACTTAAACTTTCTCTTCCTTTTCAGTTCGGGAGAGAACTGTCAAGATCAGCAGAGGGACAGGAGAGTATCCTTGGGGCTTTCGAATACAGTTTTCTAAACCCATTGTAGTTACAGAGGTAGACACAAGTAAGTGAATTCTTTGCTTGCAGTGTTATCTCATCTAGGTGATGCAGATCAGATATTCACAGTAATAAAGAAAAGAAAATTGAAATTATGGCTGGCACCACCCCACATACTGTACGTACGTAGATCTAAATGTGGTGGAAAACAGGAAGGCAATCCAGGCACTCCAAGATTTTAGAACAAGTAACAACAAGGGAGGAAATATCAATATCAAAAAGCCTTTATAGTTCTGCCTAAATAATAAAAAAGACCACTGTGATGGAGGTCTTTGTTAGGGCCTTTAACAAACAAAAAAAACAGGTGTGGCCTAAACTACATCGAAGGTAACCAATGGGAGGCAGTCACATGACCTGGATAATAACATGACAGGTAAAACATTGAAAACAGGAAATACAGACAATAATACACAGAATAGTTTTTTTAAATATACATCATAAATGGAAGATAGGTACTCATTGGTTTGACCATTGGCTGTAAGGAAATAGGGAAGCCTAGAATTTTCTTTTACAGAAAACCATGTTACTTTACTGCATCCAGTAAATGGATCCGAAAAAGCTTCTCTCTGCTAAAGGTTCTGGGTTCATCAGTTTCCCTTTTCAAAGGGTGATGCTTAAGAGAAATTGAATGTAGAATTCTGTTATTTGATATTAATACTGATAACCAATGTAATGCAATTTGATGCCTTTTAAGCCTCTCCACATAGTTAGTCTTTGGGTTTTAGACTTTGCAAGTCTTTGTTTTTTTCTCCGTAAGCTACATTGTTTTTCTGTTGTTTCAGACGGGGCTGCTGAGGAAGCGGGGTTGATGGTAGGAGACTCTGTCCTAGCTGTCAATGGAACTGATGTCACCAGCGTTCCTCATTCTGAAGCTACTGATTTGGCCAGGCAAGGTATGCTGTTTCCAGGCCCGATAATGGGGTGCACACTTGTGGCCCTGATCAACAAAATACTAGATCCAAGAAAGAACTTTCATGTAGAGTGTAAACTAATATTTCAGCATTCTGAATGTTTGGTTTGGTTGAGGCTAAGTGAATGTAGCAAGGGTTCGAGGTGACATATTTACTAAGTTTGTTTTACATTTTTGCCAAATTAGAATTCTGAGTATTTGAGTATAGACTCAAAACACTTAAACAGATGTTATTTAAAATGAAATGATCTTGATTTTTTTAGGTCCAGATGTTTTAACGTTGACTATTGGGTCAGACATTGCTCGTGGTCCCAACACCCCCAGACCAACATGTCGTGGTTATCTTCACAAGCGTACCCAGTCTGGTCTGTTTAAAGGCTGGAGGAAGAGGTGGTTTGTACTCACACATGACTGCTGCCTTTTCTACTACAGACATAAACGGGTGAGCAGGGAGCAGTCATCATTATGTATTCTAGTTTCTGAAAACAAGTCCACACAACAATGAAACAAGAAGTGTCTTTTTGACATTACTTCATGTTCATCACAGGATGAAGCCAAGAGGCGGGCTTTGTTCGCAGTAAAACTGGAAGGGGCTGAGGTGGGACCAGATATTTCCCTGGGAAAACAATTTGTGTTCAAGTGCCGCCCTCAATCCGGTAACAGAGTGTACTTCCTGTGTGCCACTTCCAACCAGGAGATTAAACGGTATAGTACAGACCTTTGGAACTTTCTAAACCAAAGACAATTTAAGTATGTTTTCATATATCTGTTTTTATGTGTATTTTACAGTTTCCAAAAGCTGAATGGAATTGCTAATTGTTGCAAGAATGTTTTTATGCTTGGCTAAAGTTTAAAAAAAAAGTGGTGTTTTCAGACAAAAGATTTACCAAACCTGAAGGTGCATTCATAAAGATTTTTTTTTCTTGTTGATTTAATTGAAACATGTTGGGATAAAGATCATGTTTAAGTTGTGTCATTGTGATTTTAGGTGGCTTGAGGCTTTGGAGAAAGCTATTCATCCCATCACACAGGTAACATCTGGACAATGCTGGGCAGTAGCTGCATTACTAGTTTAACTGCATTTCTCAGGAGCATGGTGCTTTGCTGTTATATGAAACATATTAATATACTACTGTGTACTACACTGGCCATTAGTGCAAGGCAGGTGGATATTGATATGGTAGTAAGTTTGTCCATGGATGTTAGAATTCAGTGTGAGTTGATAGTTGAACATTACATTATACATTGTAATATAATATAACTATATATCAATTATTAAAGTTAGGGTTAGTAATGTTCTAAAAACATTTTAGTTATAGTTGAGATTCTCATTACATCCAGACAGTAATTTATAAATCAAATGCTCTGACAAAAGGACTGTAATAAGGATTAGACGGTCTCCCTTTCAACCTGCGTGTCCAGTCTTCCACAAGCTGCTAGTTTGACAGCTGTGAGTTCTATCAATAGCCATGTTTGTTGCTTAAGTTCATTTTTGGACGGGGGCCTGAAGGGACGGTCTGTCCGACTTTGTCACTAGATTTAGTGACCTTTGGATCTGGTGCTGCTCACTACTTTCAATGGAACAGAGTTGGCAACACTGGTTGGGTTTTTTGGTTGCGTCATTTTTAAAATCTAGTGTGCTCTTGCTAGTTTCTCAACATTACCTGCTCCAGCTTTGATTATAGTAATATATTGTAAAATGATTATATCACCTACATTATGCCTATATGTATTTACATTATATTATTGTATTTTCATATTGATAGCATTGACTTGGAATGAAGTTGGTTTAATGTAAAGAAACAACATACTTTTGCCATGTTGCTGTTGCTGAGATTCTCCAGGCTTGAATGGATTAGAATAAATGTGTCAGGCTGTTACTCACACTGGCTTACTACCTAATATATTTAGCCCCCACGCCAACACTAATCTCCTCAATTGCCTCTCATGTTTTAGAACCATGTGTGGATGGATGTCACCAGACACAACTCTAATCTGCCCCCGCTGGCTGTGAAAAACCCAGAGTGTCTTGGACTGCTCCACAAAATGGACAAATACAAGGAAATGTGGGTACAGCAATACTGCATTCTGAAGGATGGTTGCCTCTACTTGTACAGCGGGATCCGTGCTACTCATGCACATGGTATGATACATGTCATATTTCAAATTGTTTCAAGAATGCATTTTTTGTGGGAGTGCAGAATCTAACATGTTACAGGATTGAAGTTGTATTCACAGTTTGATATTTTTAAAAGCAAAATGAATGACAACCAACTTCCATTGATCAATGATCCTTGCTAGGAATTAAAGTTACATATTGTGATAACAACTCTAAAGTAGAGAAGCACTGATTGATGTCAGCTGATCGACCATGACCAGTGACAGGCCTATCAGTTTCATGCATCTTTTTTTGTTGTTCAAATGTACACACATGCAGCATAATGGTTTTACGTCACACAAACACCACAACTTTCACATGGCGCACACAGTGGCAGTTGCGGCGCACACACACACACATATGAAGTTCTTGAGCGTCAGTGAAGAAGACATGAAGCTCGCAATTTGTAATAGCTGCAAGTCCATAACTAAACTGGAGGAAAAACCTTAAAAACAAGGTTTTGACCACAAGAAGTCCCTGTAACTTGGTGCAGTTTATTTAGTCATATTTTAAAGTCTCCTGAATGAAAGTGGTTTAATGTAGTGGTTGTGTGGTTTTCAAAGGTGATTTAAAAATATATATATTTTGAGGGTCCAGGCACATTAATAAGTATAATGAAGAGGCAGTAACTCGCCAGACAAACAAGTTAGACAAATGTTCATCCGTTTTGCTTTTTAAGGCTGATAATATGCTGGAAACAACGTTGATGGCAACAGTTTGTGAGCCGGAAAATCAAAACAATGGGCTAAAAGAGGCTGATATGCTCAGTGGGTTCATCACTACAAGCAACGCCTTTCACATTACATAGTCATTTAATGTATTGACAATATAAAAATATGAATTGCTGCAGTTTTAATGCAGCATAAACTCATGGCCAACTTGCTTCTTCACTGTGAGTAATGGTTGCAGTGTCCATAGTAAGCATTTTAAGCACAGTATATGGAATTGAGGTCCATTTTCTCTGGTGGCCATTCTGGAGCTTTTCAAGTTCTCAGACAAACAGTCACATACTATTCACTATTAATTGCTTACTTCGGTATTGTTCAACCTGGACCTTAATTTATCATGTTTTGTGTCCATGTGACTAATGGGGCCAGGCATTTTTGAAATTGGTCCCATATTGACCAAGAAGGCTGCAGATGGCAGCCACGAAACAGCCTGCAATGCTTGGGACAATTCAATGTTTCTGTCACAGCTCTGCCACTACTATCTTGTTTTTCTATCTCTCACTCACCTAATCAGCTTATTCAGTGCACCTTCTAGTCACACCCAGCTCATCACTCTCACCTGCTCACTCTGCTGCACCCACTATTTAGACCCCAGTCTCACACACACTCACTGCTAGATCGTTCTCCGCATTCATGCCAGACCTTCCAGTGAATACCCTCCAACTGATTTCCTGTTACCGACCCTGCCTGTTTTGGACTTATCCGCCTTGCCTCTGCCCCGGTAATTCACTCAGTCTTCTGTCCCCAACCACGAGATCCTGCCGCCGTTTCCTCGGGATTCTGTCTGCCTTCTCCCTTAATGGATTATCTATCTGTGCTCATCAAAGACTGTTACCTGTTGTGTGTCCAGAGGAAAATAAAGCTTCGATTCCAACTATCCATTGTGTCTGTCGTACTGCTCCTGGGTCCTTACCTCACCCGTTACAGTACGATCAACTCACGGCAGCCACAACTCAGACCAAGCCGTCACCGGCTTCGGTCCACTCTGGAATGGATCCAGCTTACAACACCACATCACAGGCCCGGTTTGTGTCGATCGAAGAGGCGATACAGTGACACGAGACCCTGGTGGTCAACAACACCGCCGAGGTTCGCCACAGCCTGGCGAATCAGAACCAGATTCTGACCACCTTGATTGCCCAGGTACAGCAACTCACGGCAGCCACAACTCAGACCAACGCGGCGTGGTCGCTGTCACCGGCTTCGGTCCACTCTGGAATTGATCCAGCACGTTCTACGTCTGTCTCAGAGCCCCGGGTGGGGGAGCCGAAACATTACGCTGGGGATCCTGAGGGTTGCAACGCATTCCTGATGAACTGTTCCATCCTGTTCGTGTTGCAGCCACGCACATTCACTTCAGAAGATGCCAGAGTGGCGTTTACCATCAACCACCTGACGGGGAGAGCTCGCCTGTGGGGAACGGTGGAATGGGATCGTTGTACTTTTGCCTGTGCTTCCTTCCAGTCCTTCTCCGACGAAATACGCAAGGTTTTCATGGTGGTGTCCATGGGACCGGACGTCACCGGAGGGCTAATGAGGCTTCAGCAGGGCCACCAATCTGTCACGGACTATGCCTTTGCTTTCCGGACCAAGGCACGATTAAGTTCACGGAACATGGATGCCCAGTGTGATGCATATTTGCTCGGTCTAGCAGATTACGTCAAAGACGAACTAATAGTGTTCGAGCTACCCACATCTCTGGACGGGCTTATCGAGATAACCACCAGATTGGATCGTCGCATCGAGGCGGCGGGAACAGCCAAGCCCAGGACCAACTTCTCACCTTCCTCGTTCAACAGTTCCTAAGTATACGCCGACCCATCTGCTTCCTCAAGAGAACGAACCCATGCAAGTGGGACGTACTAGACTATACGGAGGAATGAGAGAGGCGCTGGCGGGGCAATCTCTGCATGTATTGTGGGAGGCGGGTCATTTTGCTCACAATTGTCTGTTAAAAGCCCAGCATTACCAGTAAATAAGGAAGTACTGGTGAGCCGAGCAGTTTCCCGACCCTCCGCCTGTCAACGACCACTATTCCACGGCCAGCTACTACTACCCGGGGGCTCCCATACTATTTCCACCTTCCTGGATTCTGGAGCATCATTTATGGACGAGGAACTCGTTACACAGTTGGGGATCGACCGGATACCTCTTCCCCGGTCTGTTCCAGCCAGCGCCCTTGACGGTCATCTTCTGGGGATGGTGACAAACCGTTCCGGTCCACATGCTGCTGTCCGGCAACCACCACGAGACCATCAGCTTCCACATTCTGCAAACCCCTCACATCTCCCTCATTCTGGGATACCCCTGGCTGCGTCAACACAATCCTCACATCGACTGGACTACGGGGGCTTTTCGGGGTTGGAGCCAGTCCTGTCATCTAGTCTGCATGAAACAAGCCACCGTACCACGGGGTGCCTCTCTCACCAGTTCCACGCCTGAATTTATGGGGGTTCCCGCTGAATACTTGGACTTTAAGGAGGTTTTCAACAAGTCCAAGGCCATGTCTCTGCCTCCCCACCGTCCTTACGATTGTGCCATCGACCTCCATCCTGGTACGTTCCCACCTAAGGGGCACCTCTATTCCCTGTCTGCTCCTGAAAGAAAGGCGATGGATAATTACATTAACGACCCCCTGGCTTCCGGTCTCATCCGCCCCTCGTCGTATCCCGCAGGGGCTGGATTTTTCTTCGTGGAGAAGAAGGACAAGACCCTCAGACCCTGCATCGACTACCAGGGCTTAAATGAGATCACAGTTAAAAACCGGTATCCCTTGCTACTCATCGCAACGGCCTTTGAGTTACTTCAAGGAGCCACCATCTTCTCCAAGCTCGACCTCCGCAACGCCTATCACCTGGTCTGGATCAGAGAGGGGGATGAGTGGAAGATGGCAATTCAACACACCTAAAGGACATTATGAGTACCTTGTGATGCTCTTCGGCTTAACCAACGCCCCCGCCATCTTCCAGGCCCTGGTGAACGACGTGCTCCAGGACATGTTGGACCGGCATATATTCGTCTATCTCGATGACATCCTGATTTTCTCCAAGAACCAAGAGAAACATGTGCACCACGTCCAGTCCGTGCATCAATGCCTACTGGAGAACTCCCTGTTTGTGAAGGCGGCGAAGTGCGATTTTCACATTCCTACGGTTTCATTCCTGGGATATATCGTTTCCCAGGGCAGCATCAATATGGACCCTGCAAAGGTTGCTGCCATCACTACCTGGTCTGTCCCAAACTCCCGCCAGCAGCTTCAATGTTTCCTGGGGTTCACCAACTTCTATAGGTTCATCAGGAATTACAGCTCTGTCGCTTCCCCACTTACTGCCTTCACCTCCTCCAGGATTCCTTTCCTGTGGACTTCTGCAGCCGAAGAGGCCTTCCAGAACCTGAAGTCCAGGTTCACCTCAGCACCCATCCTCCAAGTGCCGGATCCGGACAATTTGTGGTGGAGGTGGATGCCTCCGACATAGGGGTTGGGGGTGTCTTGTCCCAACGCTCTGCCTCTGACCAGAAGCTCTTTTTCTCACGTCGGCTTTCCCCCGCAGAGAGAAACTATGACATTGGCAACCGGGAACTACTAGCAGTGAAGCTGGCCCTGGAGGAGTGGCGTCACTGGCTGGAGGGGACCAAGCTCCCATTCCTGGTTTGGACCGACCATAAGAACCTCTATTACATCCGCACAGCCAAGAGACTCAATTCTCGACAGGCCAGGTGATCTTTATTCTTCACACGGTTCCACTTCACGCGCTCCTATCGCCCTCGGTCCCGCAATGTCAAGCCTGATGCCCTTTCCCGTCAGTTCCAGGGGGAGGAGGAACCTAGCTCTCGTTCCTCTTCCATCCTTCCTGCCAAGTATCTGTCCTCACCTGGGGGATTGAGGAATCAGTGAAGGCCGCGACTAGGGGTCAAGCCGGTCCCAGCGCATGTCCTCCTAACCGCCTGTTCGTCCCTCAGGGCCTTTGGTCCGACGTCCTCCAGTGGGCACACTCCTCAAGACTTACCTGCCACCTGGGCATCCAGAGGACCCAGGACGCTCTGCGGCAGCGTTTCTGGTGGGTCTCGCTCAACGAGGACACCAGGGAATTCATCAACGCCTGCCCAGTCTGCAATCAACACAAACCTTCTCACCAGGCTCCGGCCAGCCTCTTGCAGCCTCTCCCAGTGCCTCATCGTCTGTGGTCCCACATCTCCCTGAACTTTGTCACTGGGCTACCACCATCTGAGGGCCACACCGCCATCCTGACAGTGGTCGACAGATTTAGTAAGCTGGCCCATTTTATTCCTCTACTGAAGCTCCCATCTGCTAAAGTGACGGCAGAACTCATCTCCCTGCATGTCTTCCACCTGCATGGGATTCCAGTCGACGTAGTCTCTGACCGCGGTCCTCGGTTCACCTCCATATTCTGGAAGGAATTCTGCGCTCTGCTGGGGGCCACCGTCAGTCTGTCCTCTGGGTTTCACCCCCAATCCAACAGTCAGACGGAGAGGAAGAACCAGGAGATGGAAACAGCCCTCTGCTGCATGATACGGTCTGGAGGAGAGGCAATGGGTTTCGGCTCGGAACATCTGCGACCCCCGAATCATTGCCAGGTTTCATCGACGGCACCCGCAACAAACTTCCAGGATTAAGACACCTGCTGGGAACACCCAGCAGGTTCCCTGTGCGGCCAATGAGGGCCCTTCATCCGGGCCCGAGGAACCCTACCTCCAGACCCCCTCCACCCACCCTGCTGTGGACTCTGACTCTGCTGCCTCGGAGGAGTTCTTTTGTCACTGACAGGCTCAGATTACAGAACATTATGGAAAGAACCCTACAGAGAAATAAAACACTTTTCTTTACCTTTGCTTGATCAGTCTGTCTGTTACCTGGGAGATGTCTCGTTCTGAAATCTTGTCTCACATCGACATTGTCGAAATCTTTTAGATAACGTAAGCTACACTTTCTTTACTCCATCAAAACCAACTCTGACAACACTCCTCTCTCCAACTCGCACTCCCACCGTTTTCTTGCAGCAACGACACATGTCACAATAACAAACGGAACCCGGCTCGCACAAAAGGGTAAGGGCTGAGGCTGTCGCCAAAATGCTGCGCCGATGGTCCAGCAACTTAGTCTACCATGATTTATTCACACACATTGTTATTAACACTATTAATAATAGGGTGATATTTATACCAAAATAGTCTATGTAACATGCTTTATTAGTAGAAACCAAACAATTCTATGTACAATCAAACATTCAGCAACCCCTGAACAGCTAGAATGGAATGATCCTTTGTTTAATAACATATTTTCCCGCTAATTCAACTATTAAACTGGGAGATTGGCAGTTGAATCAGGCTCCTGACATCAAATCGTTAGTATATAGTCAGCTATTCTGTGTCCTGCCTGCTACATAGAGTGCAATTTTCACTGCCATGAATTTGATCATTCAACATGAATGTAACAATATAAAGACACATTGTGAGAAGTTACTGCTAAAATGCAACATCTACATTGTTTGTGTCAAGGTAAATGTGTCTGTTTTCACCATAAGATGGGTCCAGCCAAACAACACAAGCAGCATCACACGTGGTAATAACTACATGGCAACATAACAGCTGACCACCTTGTACAGTATATGTCTCACAGCATCTTCAGATGTATTCACCGTCATCTGGTCCTTGCATAGTGCGAAACTTATTCAAAATAACTGGAGTACCTTTCTTGCTCCTTCCGTTATTTGTTACATGTTCTATGAAAACAATCTATGCTTGCATTGTTACCGAGTGCCCCCTATATAATAAACATCTGCATCACGTCGATCTTTTTCACATCCCCTCTTCCTGACCTGTTTTTATACATCCAACCACTATTTTCTCAGACACTGAAGGAAATGTTAAACTCTGTCTTCAGGTGGGATTTACCTTCAGGGGTACATGGTGCGAGAGCAGCCCTATGGATCCAAGAAATCCACCATTGAGCTGAAACCGCCGACTGATGAGTTCAAGGCTTTCTACCTCTGTTCTGAAAATCCTAATGAGAATAAACGGTGAGGAGCTGACTATGATTTTCATTGAGGGACTTTTCTACTGTAGAACCTATACCTTTTAAGAACGTGCGAGACTTTGGTGCATCTTTGCATTTCCATTTTATATAACAACAAACAAGCCAGGTGGTGCTTCACAACCATGTCCTGCACAATAAGCCACTTTGTTGTGGCTCTTGATCTTTCCAGTGATATCCTCTGGTACCCTCATGTGGTTTTTTCCATGGGCCAAGTATATTCTTATATAAGCCAGATAACTTGCTACATCCATACTATTTTTCAACAAAAACGATCTCCGTCCACACGGCGTTTCAGCATCGTTTTTGAATTGATCTCCGTCCATATGAAAATGCCTGAAAACAAATATCACGTGACTCTTCATGTACACTGGGCATGCGCGTGGGTGTCGATGTAAACAGGAAGTAGATTGGTTGCTTAGTTTAAAAAAATATGACGGAGTAATAAAGTAGTCTTTAATAATGAAAGGTCGTGTCTGATACTTAAGATCTTCTCTAAAATCTTCCTCGATGAACTCAAACACAGTTCGTGGAAAGTTTTAGAAGTTTTATTTTTCAGACTTAGTTACAGCGCTGCGGGTCTTGCTCTATCTCTCTCTCTCACATATCAAATTTACTTTAAAATCAACACTTACACGTAAAGGTTTACTAGATTATGGGTCCATAAATCTGGTCAACACGTCTCTCACTCGTTTTGTCGGTTTCATTGTGTCTGTTCTCACTTGTAGCTCTGCTGGTGGCTTAACTATCTGTCATGAATAGCATTTACTGCTTTTGTTCCTTTTACATTTCATCTGTGGACTTCACAATAGATGGGAAGAACAAAATAAGCAAAGGAAAGTCCTCCGTTTTGTGTCCGTCCACCCTCCCTAAAGCCGCTAACCGTGACTTCAGATGTCCGCTCCGTAGGGCTGGTAACGCCGCTCGCTAATCGCTCCAATAACAGCCGCTTCCTCCACATGTCGGCAGTAGTAGAATTATAACATGCAGACTTTAACTGGACAACAGCTGCTAAAGACAACAAGGTCAGCAACACCTGTAATCAATTGTCCATGTTAAATTAACCTGGTAATCAATGTTGTTTGTGGGCTTCCGGGTAAGGGTCAGGTGATAAGAGTGTGACGAATCAGGGAAGGACACGTCATGACTGCTAAGAACCAATCAAGTAGCGAACGCGGGTGTGGGCTTCATCGTTTCTAAATTTATCCGTTTTCGACCGTCCACACGAAAACGCAACCCGGAGTTTTCAAACTTATCCGTCTTCGGGAGAGTTTTCAAACTCCTCCGTTTTCGGTGCTCGAAAACGCCGGCGTAGTGTGGACGCTCAGCGTAACCGTAGCAAAACATATGCGTTTAAAATGGAAACGTAGTGTTGATATGGCCTTAGTTAAAGGGCCACCTGGATTAAACCCCTCGGGGTCTTGCGCTAAACAGATAGCCTGAACATATCCGTTTGTGCGGACAACAAAGAAAGCTCTTTTTTTCACGTTTTAATCAATTTGTCTTTACCTTAGTACTTGTGTAGCTTCTGACTGAACCTCTGTGGTTTGGAGTTTAGTTTCACACATTCCTGTTTGAATTTGTTAAGCCTTAAGTTACTGCAAATCAAACATTTACTTGTAACAGCCAAAGTTGCTATCTCGGAGCTAACTAGCCCACGCTGCTATTTCTCTCCACCTACACCAACCACGTTATGTACCACAGTAGCTTTAAATTAAAAGTATTCCAATAGCGAACAACTGGGTGGCTTTTATTGTGAAGAAGAGACAGTAAATGGAGCAAATGCAATGTAACTGAAGTAACTGTCCTTCTAAAACTTAGTCTGCACAACAAGATATGGACATGGTGCTATGTGGTCAGTGGATCTGTTATAATTATTGCAGGGATGAAAATTACAAACAGAAAGAGCCACAGTGAGTTGTTGGATACAGTGCTCAGGTGACTTCCCGCTCTTACGGGTTAGGGTTAGGGATACCTTCATCCAGCATACCTTCAACACCTCAGCAAGATTAAATACCTTTAATTTGAAATGGTCATGGTTGTTCACGGCTGGGTTTGGCCTGAAGAGGGAGACTTTGTTTCTTACAGTTGGCTGCAGCTCACTATTGGTGTAGAGATAATACTGGTTACCATCTTGTGTTATAGAACTCCTTGTTTTTATGCGACACAGCACATTTGCTTGACCAGTCATTACCAGCAGTACTGCCAGTATCATATTCTGAGCAAAGCAAAAATGTCCTATAGAAATGAGAACATTTGCAATTAACCTAATATTGTAATGTCATGAGAGGTTAATATGGCAGGCAAGGGTGAGGTGGTGCAAGGTAATTCATAAAAACAGGCAAAAAAATCAAAGGTTCCCAGAAAAAGGCCAAGTTTCAGTCTTCTGTTTCTGGCAACTCAGGTAATTCTGTTATCAAACTCAAAAAGTCCAAAACAAACAAAAGCGTCCAAGAGGAGATAAAGCTTTGTTCAACTGAACAGTATTAATCAAACTCAACTTAGGGTGTCCTCGGTTTCACAAGCTACCGAGCCTTCTTCCTTTCAATCCTCCTCAGTCTGGCTCGGTACTTTACTTTATGCCGTTCTCCAGTCCAGGTTAGTTCTTGACGCTCCTTGCAGCCGTGTGCTCTCTTCCATCTCCTCTCCTCCTGCAGCAATTCTGTCCTGTCTTAATCAGGTGACTTAAATACCCACACCTGGGTGAGTGGCGAGGCCTTCTGGGAGCTGTAGTCCGTGCCTCGGTGGCCATTTTGTGATGTGGCTGCTGATCATTAAAGGGGATGTAGCACCCATCTACCACCTGGCCCCTTGTGATGCCACAATATGTTAATGCTAAACATATTAACGTATCTGGAAACTTTAGAACATGATAAATGTTGGTATACGTCTATTTAGGCACGCAAAGCACTTGGTTAGGGAAAGACCCTGGTCCCTAATACATATTTAAAAAGTCACAAAGGAGGTTGTTGGAGCCATAGTGTGGTTTTGTTGTTTTCTTATGTCTTTGAGGGAAACATGGGGTGTGTACACATGCAGTTCTGACATTGAACAGTGGGTGGCACATTAACCTAAATGTGCATATATGTAAGTGCCTGGTAATGAGGATCAGGTGTGTGTGTGTGTGGACGGGAAGCTAACAGTTTTTGGCCGTGTCAACGTGTCAAGGTGTCGTGTCAATGTAGCGTGTCAGCCGGCATGTGAGCTAGTTTCAAGGTCTTATACTATCCTCTAAAGTATCCTGTATTCTGTTACGGTGCCAATATGTATTTGAATAAAAGGATCAACGGATCTAAAGAAAGACAGCGCATTGGACATTGAAATGTTTGTGGAACACGCGTCCGAACAAGTTCTCCCGTTCGCCCCCCCAGTGGCTTTAATATATAAAAATGGATATTTGTTAAAGTCACTACAGAGGTAAAAGAAAAAAATCTCCATTTGGTATTAGTTCAGAAACTCAGATATTCCATCAGCTTTAGTATTGAACCTTCTTTTTCATCGATACCCAGCCATAGTTTATATGTCCATCAAGCTCCTGGAGTGGGAAGAGGTGAAACCCAGTGAATGAGGAAAACCCCAGTTGAAGAACAGATGTTTCCATGTTGATGCTTCTGATGTTCTTTACAGATGGATCATAGCTATCAAAGCTTCAACAAAGAGATGGCTACCTTTACGTTCGGTCTTTCAGGAGTACATGAATCGGCCATCAGAAGAGATCAGAATGTGAGTCGGACGCACCCTGTGGATCGCTGGATACGCTTCCTGTTTGTAGCTGTAGCATTTTTTTCCCTGTGCTGCTTATTTGTTACAGAGGATGAATTCCCTCAGGGAAGTCCTGAGAAAATTAGGCCACAGTTTTAGTAGGGCGGTCAGTTCATGCCAGCTTATTTACATAAAGCTCGATTGCAAATGTCAAAGTGCAAAAGCAAATGTGAGGGACGAGAACAACTGAGAAACAGTACTTCATATATTGCTCTTCATTTCCCTCTTCAGTTTGACATTGTTGTCCCTCTCTTGTCACACAATTTTAAATTCAAGCTCTTCCATTTGAACTTACAGGCCATAGATACAAATGAATCTATGACCTCATGATCTGTGGATCAAAGTCATTTACCATTGTGGCTTTTTTTCCATTGAAATTATCCTGAACACTTCCCTATCTCTGTCGGCAGTGCTCTTAAGATGGGTTGAATGCTCCGGTCATATTTCATGTATGTACCTGTACGTATATGACGATTGAAATAAAGTTAGTTTAATATCATTTTTATGTTTTCATACAGTGTTTGGAATCTCTTAAAATCTTTGGAGAGGTTTGTTTGTAATATGAAATACTGGCATTTCTATGCATACAGATTCTGTATTACTGTGTTTTGTTTTTATTGCTACACTGCAAACTTTTAGAATATAAATGTGCTCTCATGCTCAACAGTTAGTAATGCATCAACGTGTTTGTCAAATAAATTCTACAATCAAATCCTTTTGAGTCTGTCTGCTACTGAATCTGCAGTCTTTTGTCGGTGCTAAAATTACAAAAAGAGTATAAAGTGAAATATGTTGTCCAGTCAAAATCTTTAAAATCAGGGCCTTTTTTTCAACTGCTCAGTTACATTAAAGATACAATGTGTAGCATTTAGGGGGCTCCATTAGTAGAAATGGAATATGTTTTTTCTTTACCTTTTAGAATAGGCCATTCATATCCACATACGGGGTACATCCCAAGTCTCTTAATTGTCATTTCCTCGATCCTCGCTTGAACCGGAAGTTGTTCTGCGCCGCCATATTGACGGCCGTCCCAAAGCTCTTATTTAGCTCTGAGGAGAGAGGAGGGATCTCAGAGGAGCCACGAGCGAGGAGCCACGAGAACAGACTTCCAGGAAGTCTTTTAACGGCCGACACGCCCCCTCATTGTTCATCAGTGTTGTGATTGGACGCTGCAGCTGATCGGACTGATGAGATTTTTTTCAACATGTAAACAGTGAAGAAGGATCACAGAATAAACTCAAGATTTATATTTGATTCGTTTTCTGATTCAACATCTGGTTTAAATAAATGTTCATTGTAGACTGAACAACAAAAGGACCACAAACAACTTTCTTCATTTATTAGAAAGATTTGTGTTTTCATGATCTGAACTTTTATTATGGAAACAATTAAAGTCAGAGGGAACTGGAGAGACGAAACACATACATATACAGTAGAGAGAGAGAGAGAGAGAGAGAGAGAGAGAGAGAGAGACGAAACACTTTTTACATCATTTATCATCATTTCATTCAGTCACATGAGGCTGTTCATTCCTGAGTGTTTGAGTTTTATCATTTAAGAGAAACAATAAACATATTCTGGGTTATTTAATAATGACGCCATAATCTGAATTTCAAAACGTACAGACGCAAATAATTCATAAATAAGACGATCGCATTCCGCCGGTAAAAATCGATCCTGCGCTTATAAACAGAACACAGGACAGTTTGTTAACAGACTACAGAGAGAAACACCTCTACAGTGGTGATTACTGTGTGTCTTTATTAGTTATTAGTATTATTAGTTACTATTATTAAGTACAGTGATCATGTGAACTGACACTAACTTCTCAAAAGTCTCTCCAGCTGTTAAAGCCGACTGACAGCTGATCCAGCTGTGAGCAGCTGATCCTCCGTCATCAGAAACAGACGTCGCTTCACGTGACGCACCTGAGGAAAGGACGTCTCATGTCTCTTAAAACATATTTCCTAGTTCCTCTCTCCTCGCATGGTTTCCTCCATGCATCCCTGGTGGGAGGGACTAAGACGCAAGGAAAGGACCCAAGTGAGGGAAACGGGGATGACATTAAGAGACTTGGGAAGTACCCACGGAGTGGGTCCTCTTTACGGAGCCGGATGACATGTTTCTACAGCAGCCCGGAATGGACAAACCAAACACTGGCTCAAGATAGGGCCATACCCGTTTTCGTGTTTGGCCTTCTACACGCTTGGCACACGGGAGGATTTTCAGTTAGTTGCAATCTGCAACCTCAACACTAGATGACGCCAGATCCTACACACTAGACCTTTAAAGCAACTACAAGGAACTTTCATTTTGTGTTTGGTGGCTGCTGTGGACAAAAGTGGTTTCCTGTTTTCTCATACCTACTAATCATATTTTGCTGCATGGGCAGAAGCCGCCAGATGCAGCCTTTTGGCTTGTTGACACAGAAGGTTCGCACATGCGGTTAACGATGTGAAATGGTTGCTGTTAGGGTAACACGTGGATAACGTGAATTGGTCCCTGTTAGGGTACTTGACTTTACATTGGAGTTAGTTGAAAGCCTGGCATGTCTCACACAGAAGCTATAGGGGGCCTTGTGTGATAATATCAATACGCCGAGAGCTACGCCAAGCGTCGGTATTCTGGGTCTGAGACCTGGCTGGCATTTTCCCATGAGTACTCTGTCATCCTCAGGACAATTTCCTACTGGTCACTCCCCCGCACATCCCTTCTAGGTTGTTATTTAAATACACTCTACACTTTTACACTACACTTACATCTCCCTTGTTTATAGTCCTGTAACCTGTTCGTTTGTGCACTTTATTTTATATTTCACTTTATTTTATATTTTACTTTATTTTATATTTTTCTGGAAATTTCAATATGTTTCTGCTTTGCACTGTGTTGATTGTTGTTGATTGTTAAATGTTTGCACCTCCCGTCATGTCAAATTCCTTGTATGTTCGACATACCTTGGCAATAAACGGTTCTGATTCTGACTACCACCGCCTCGATTCATAAAGATCTTGTTGTGGCTAGAGCATGCATTTGTTTGAACTCTGAACTTGAAAGGGTAGAGGCAAAGCTTTGCCAGCAGTACGGTCTGTAACAGCATTGGTGTAGAAAGGATCAGTGAGGAGGGAGTCATATTTAAATGAACCTGAAGAGTGAGCTGTGCTTGGTGTGTGACTGATTAGAAGCGATGATTCAACCGGCTGGCTGTCAGCTGGTTACAGCTGGGGGCGTATGACTGTTGTGTATGAACTAACACGATGCTTCATATTACATACCAGTCTAAAAGGAAGAGGGCCAAATCAGAATCAGTTTTGAACCACATTTATTTTCTCTTTGCAACAAATTATGATGTAATAAATAAAAAATCTCGGAAAAATCAAGTCTTTTAACAGTTAATGTAAAACTCACTGCGAAACCCTGCGTGCCGTAATTGGACCCAGTGACAGGCATGAAGGGTAGCGCTAGCTTCAGTGGCGAGCCTTGTGTTTTATACCTGTGCCTTCAGTGCTGTCCTACTACAGTTGAACCACCTCCCACTAACCTCATTATGACGCCAGCATGTTGGGATGCTTCGTCATTAAAGGACAATGCATATAGTCAAAATCAATGTAATTAACACAATGACAAGAACAAACTCACAAAAAACAGTCATGTATATTTATATGACAACAAAGCAGGTCCATCCTCCTTTCTTTGATTACAAAGAGTTCAACGACACGGTTGTACAGTAACGTTACATCCGTGCGTTTTAGTTCCAGTAAGAAGTCCTTCTGGATTCATGGAAGCCAGTGAAGACAGTCGAGTCTCCCCAGTTGTATTTCTTGAACACGTTTTAATGCGTTTGAAGCTGAAAATGTCCGCTCGACAGAGGCAGCAGATATTGGGATTGTCACCGCCCAACATGTCAAAACGCTAAAAATATAATGTCACGTAAAAACGTCTTACATATCTTAAAAACTTTAACTCTTATTACTACAAAGTTCTGCTAGCTAGTTTCACAACAGTCACGCTAACCCACTGACCAATCAAGCTGCACGTTAATGCTGACGTAGTTGTAGACTACCTAGAACAGGGGGGGGGCAATTATTTTTCCCAAGGGGCCACATGAGAAAGAGGGACTGTTGTGGAGGGCCGGACCAATAGACTGAACTCAATCCTGCTCTATATTATTCCACCTCTTTATATAAAGCAGTATGTTGTATGGTGTTGAGCTGTGAGTGGTGAGAGTGAATGTTATGATCAGTGGTGGAATGTAACTAAGTATATTTGCTTAAGTACTGTACTTATGTACAAATTCAAGGTACTTTACTTTAGTATTTATATTTTATTTAACTTTGTACTTCTACTTCACTACATCTCAGAGGGAAATATTGTACTTTTTACTCCACTACATTAGTCTGCCAGCTTTAGTTACTAGTTACTTTGCACATTATAATTTTTCAAACCTTTCCTAACTACCCAAACAACAACAGAGTATAAAGGAGTTAAAATGAGCTCCACCTAAAACATCTGCAGCAGCAATAATCCAAACAACATATACATTTGTAATATCCATATGTAATAGTAAAACACTGACGGGGATCATGATTTTACAAAATTAGTACTTTTATTAGTATAAATATTACTATACAAATGACCTCTTTCTGTTTGTCAGTTCAGTGGAGAAATCTGGTCTGTGTTGGGCTTGAACGAGTGACTGAAGTCAGGCTGAATGTGTGAGCTGAGATGTGAAGGACAGCTGACAGCTGATGTCAGTGAGAGAGGATCTGGATCTGGATTTGTTCAACGTCATCACAGAGAATGTTTGTTCACAGATGGAGGTCGATCCAAAGAGAAGCAACATCTTCTGAGCATGCCTCCTCATGTGTGGAACGTTCTCCTCTTTGAGAGAAGAATATAGATCCAGCAGTGATACTGACTTAAAGTGCTCTGCAGTCCTGCATCAGACTGCAGGTCAATGAGCTGGAGCTGAACATCACTGGGAGCATCATCCACACTGCACGTGAAGGAGAAGAAATCATGTGCATTTCATTCAACTGTTTTGAAGTCTTGAAATGGCCTTGAAAACTCACCATGCAGTGCCCCTAACATGGATGATACCTGTGGAGATGTTCAACTGATGGTGTGGCTTCTTTCAGGGTGTGCAGGTGGGTGAGAGTGTTACCTGCAACTTTCCCATGAAAGCCTTCACCAGGCTACATGTCATGTGCAGAGAGGCCCTTGCCTTGCAGTTTGGTATTCAGATCATTCATCACATCAACAGCAAATGCAAAATCTGTCATCCAGTTTACATCAGAGAGCTCTGGGATGTCCTTTCCTTTCTTCTCTCAAAACTCTTGAATCTCTGCTCTCAGGTCCCGAACTCTTTTAAAAGTCTGACACAACCATGTCGGTTGTGACACATGCCAGTTTGTCCCATTTCAGTCCCAGCTTGTGGAAGCATCTACCTCCGTGAACACATCACTCCCCGTTGTCCCTTTCATTGACTGCATTGCTGCAGCTCCTCTGTAATCACCAAGTCTTTCGTTATCCCACCTACACAGATGAGTAACTTGCTGTGTCGCGGACATCGCAGCTCTCGTCCAGAGCCAAGGAGAAGAGTTGGAAATGGTCTGCTTTTCTTTGCAGCTGAAGCTCCAGATGTCCCTCGATGTCCTCGATCCTCCTCGTTACGGTGCGCCTGGAGAGCTGCACATTCTCCAATGCCTCTTTATT